GTCTACTTTAAAGACTTAGTAGGTCTTAGCAGCAGGTTTCTCTTTAGGCAAGATATTTGATGGCGTAAAGTTGATTAGAAAGTTTAATTAGATAACTTAAATAATTGTAAGTTACAGATATAGCATCAAGTGTAGAATTTAGTAATAGATAAACTACTTAATTAGATACTCAAAAGGCACAGATATGGCTAGAATGTATTTTTGTTAATATAACAAGATTAGATGTAGTTCATATGACTATACTGATATCGACCCAAAAGTTCAATAAACCATGCTAGATCTGTAAGTAGTCACTTTAATATTTAAAAAAAAAATAAGAGTATAGTGAATTAGAGTAGTAGTTAAGTTGTTAGTCTTCAAGCAGTAGGTCTAAAATTCAAATTCTACTGAAAACATTTTTTTTAAAAAAATAAGCCTGTGTATCAGAAATATTTATTTAACAATCAGTTGTGTATATCATCTATAATTTTAGTACTATTATCTCGAATTAAAAGCTCTTAGACAATTCAAATATAAATAACTAAAATAATTAAAACCTATTTGGCAAAACTCAAACAAAAAGGTAGTGAAAATCTTTGACAATATTGCAGAAAACTAAAACCAGAGACTAAAGAATTGAATGAAAACTCTGGGGCAAGAAGAGTTTACCAATCTGACTGCCAAAGTCGCACTAAAAAAAAGGTTCTATGCTATAAAATTAAAAACCAAGGAAAGTAAAATCAAAAGATACTTAAAATCTAGATACAACAACCTATCTGAGCTAACTAGTTTGGTAGTTTGAAAGGGATTGATAAAAGGACTAGTTTGAAGCAGATATTAGGATCAAAATAAACTTTATAAAGGCATAAATACTGAAATTATACAGTTTAATAATTAGTCTTAAATGCTAGTGGTAGTTTTAGCTGTTGTAGAAAATATTCGAAGCCTAATTTAGAAATGTGTAAGATATAGAAAAATTAGAAGGTATATACTATATTTTATCTAAAGTGACTGACTTAGTAATATAAAAACTCTATTGGATTGTCTGCAAGTAGTATAAATATATCGATCTGAATAGTCTTCAATTGAAGCAGCATAAGATTATAAGCCAGCATAATTGAGGTGGTAATGCAGGACAGGGAATATTAGAGAGTTTAAATAAGTAATCTTTTAGTTAGATTACAGGTACAGCATATAGTATAGAGTCTTTAGATAGACTACTTAAATAGACAACTAAGTTATATATATAGCTAAATATACTTTCATTAACCAAGAATATACTACTAAAATATCTAATAAAAATTTGTCTGTTCACAATATTACAAAGATAAAAAAAATATAGACATTATTTTTTGGTACACCTCTCTTAATATATCAAAATTTTACTAGGGTAACCCTGTTGTAAAACTAATAAAAATGTTTTCTGTAAAGTTTTTACTTTAACCCAACCCTAACCCTAACCCTAAACCTAACTCTAACTTTAATTTAATGCTTATTGTCCGAAGCAAAGCAGAGGACTTATACTTCTATGTGCTTTGATAACTGAAATTATGATTTTGATACATCTATAATAAAAAGATCAAAAAAGTAATTTTAGCATTTTATATCTGTAATACTGTGTATTTATATTTGTATATTATGTAAACAAAATTATACACGTTTACGTGTTTGTGTAAGATAACAATAATGAGCTCCAGATTTAAACTGGTTTTCAGTTTCTAGTTTATATTAATTTTGCTGTAGTTTGCTATAAAATACACTATATGCATCCTGCATAAAATAATAATTGTCAAAATATATACTATATATATATAAAATAAATAACTAATCAAAATAAACTACTATTATACTATCTATTTATCCAATAGCTATATAATATTTATTAATAATTTAAATATATTTAACTAATCAAGATTAATTTAGAGTCAATATATATATAAACAATTTTTTATATTTTTTAAAACTTTAAGTAAAATTTTTTAATAACTATCTGGCTAAATTTAATAAAAATTTTTTTAAATTTAAGAATATTTATAATTAGAATAAAAAAAAATTTATTAAATTTAGTTAGATAATTATTAAAGAGTTTTGTTAAATGTAGCAGGTTGTGATATCGCAGGTTAATACGTAACTTTAAAAAAAAAATCAAATTTATTATTAGTTAGGGTTAGTGTTCAAGCTAGTATTAGGATTATGCAAAATTAAGTGTTAAAAACTTTTAATTAGAAGCCCAGGACAAGTTTACATAATGAAATTTCGAGATATTTAATATTTTGACTTTTTCTTAAGTTTTCCTAATTTTTCATTCATTTTTGTTACACAAGATCCTGTGATCTAATTGGTCAATCATATTAATCTGCAATATAGCAACCTGTGATATTTAACATTATCCTTATTAAAAAACTTAAAGTTTAGTAAAATCAATTTCATTTATTAGCAAATCAAATTTCTTTAAATTTTTTAAAATTTTGATCAAAGATTCTTGAAATCTATCTAACCAAATTTAATAAAATTTTTTAATTTTAATTCTACAAATATGCAAAATTAGAATAAAAACTTTTTATTAAATTTGGTCAAGTAGTATTAAAAAGGTTGGCTTAAAATTTAGAAAGAAGAGCTTTTAAAATTTTTAAAAATTTGTATAAAGATTTTTTGATATATATCTAACCAAATTTGATAAAATTTTTTTATTTTATTTTACAAATATGCCAAATTAAAATAAAAAATTTTTATAAATTTGTTTAAGTAGCTATTAAAAAAATTTTGCTCAGAATTTAGAATTTGTCCTGTTTATTAGTAAATTGTATTTCTGAATTTTTTTAATACTTTAAGTAAATATTTAACCAAATTCAATAAAATTTCTTTTATTTAATTATACATATTTATAAAATTAAAATAAAAAAAAATTTATCAAATTTGGTTATATAGTAATTGAAAAACTTTGATCAAAATTTAAATTGGTTTGGTCTATTAGTATTTTTAAATTTTTATAACTTTGAGCAAAGTTTTCTTGATAATTGCTTAATTAAATTAGATGAAATATTTTTATTTTAATTTACCCTCAAAACAAACTACTTGAAATATATATGCTTCTTGGTATATCATGTTTTTACCTTTATTAACAATAGCCTACTTTATACAAAATCAAAAAAAGTATTTGCTTTAATATCTCTATATAACATTTTTATATAGCTTAGTTGTTTGGAGTTGTTAATTAGAGAATCATTGGAAAAATTATAAATACCGAATCAAGTATTATTAAGTTAATCTTAAATTATATAAAATAAGTAGATGTTTTTAACAAGACTAGTAACATTTAATCAAGAAGTGGTGAAAACAAATTCTTAAAAATTAAAAGCAAAATACTGCTAAACTTGAGCATTTATGCTAAGTAAGTCTTTATTAACAATAATAGATAAAAACATATATATAATATATATGTTTCTGATACTGTTCAATAAATATAATAAAGGCAGAATTATCAAAAAAAATAAATTGTAATTGAAAAACTTTTAGAAGTCCATATAAATTGTTAAAGATGCGAAGCAAAACCTTATTTTTAAAAAAATATAGATAGATCAAGTTTAAAAAGTGGCTTGTTTTAATTCAATAAATTAACTTTGTATAACCTTATCGTTATCAAATGGTACGTATGTACGTACCCAATGCTAAACAAAGATAACTCGTGATTGATTTTATAGAGAATTGAGTTTTTTTTTCCTTGAAAATGACCTTATGAAATAGTAATTACTGTCCCCGTGATGCCATTTTCAAGAAAAAACCCTTATTTACTGAAAAATATTTTTAATGAGATGTACAAGGCACGCACATACATGCGTAGTATTCATAGCCTTCATCTAAAGAATTAATGTCATATTAAGATATTGTTTTCTTAAATTTATCGTTATATATACGTACATGTTTAATGATGTCGATACAGAAGAGCCACTTATCAATGACCTATGAAATTGCAATAATAGTAATGATTTTAGGTTAAAATAAGAGTAATAACTGATGGTACGTAAAATAATGTGTTACATTTACCATATGATCTCGGAGTGTAGCTTATCAGTATATTTTACCTTGATAAATTCGTGACTTAAAAATGTACAAATCTACCAATTAATTGAAAGTTTCGTGAAACCTCACTCAGTAACCTTGGCTTTATTCTAAAAATCGTCTTAATCTGTGCTTTTGGTGGTTGCAAAGCAGATGTGAGTTTATCATATATTATAAGCATAGGAAGGACAAAATACAAAATACCAGCCATATCATTATTAATCTTCAAAGTCCTATATATCCTCTCGGACTTATATAGTCTCAGCACTATTACCTATAGTGTCGTTATCTCCATTTCCGTTACCCCCTTATCCTTTAATCCCCTTCAATTTTCTTTTTTTTTTTGGTTCCCTATAGGTCTTTATCTTTGGGTTCTCGTTAAATCTTGGTCCTTAGCCTGTTTTATAATAATAATCATGCAAACAATAAAATGTGTTGTTGTCGGTGATGGTGCTGTTGGCAAGGTAAGCAATAAGCATACCTTCATTTTTAATCAACTACAACCCAATTTCATAACGACTAGAGTCGTTCTTTTGAGAAAGTGCTTACGATTTCTTGCTTTTGTCGATCGAAATTGTAAAGCTTTCGGGTAATAAATCTGGAAACGACCTCATTTAATCAATACATTCGTATATAGTAATGTATATTATATAGATTGTATAAAATTACATTGTAAAAGAAAAAAAAAATTAATGTCATTTAAGAAGAGAAAAAATTATTTGAAAAATCTTAATACTTTTTAATTCTACTATACTAATGACACTTATTTTATTATTATATCTTTGGGATTTACTGATGTAGACGTGTCTTTTAATCTCTTACACAACAAATAAATTTCCGTCTGAGTACGTTCCTACGGTAAGCATAATTAAACGATCGAAATGTTAGTATCTTGTAAGCGTTCATCGTTTTAATGTTTCTTTAATTTCATCTAGGTTTTTGACAATTATGCCGTTACAGTCATGATTGGCGATGAGCCGTATACATTGGGTTTGTTTGATACAGCTGGTGTGTATCCCTAAAGTGAGAAGTTATGTCATTTTGATTCTTTGAAATTAATTATTAAAACACTTAATTCTTTTGTATCATACATATCCTTTCGTTAATAAACATTATCATTATTCATATCGGTATTTTTCAACTGTTGCATTTCTGGTGAAAACGGATAAATAGGCCAAGAGGATTACGATCGTCTCCGTCCTCTTTCATATCCCCAAACAGACGTCTTTTTGGTCTGTTTTTCTGTAACCTCACCAGCTTCTTTCGAAAATGTCAAAGAAAAATGGTTCCCTGAGGTTCATCATCACTGTCCAGGAATTCCATGCCTGATTGTCGGTACTCAAATAGATTTGCGAGATGATCCATTGGTGGTTGAAAAGCTATCACGACAAAAAATGAGGCCCGTAACTTCAGAGCAAGGCGAGAGACTCGCTCGAGAATTAGGTGCTGTTAAATATGTTGAATGTTCAGCTTTGACTCAAAAGGGTTTGAAAAATGTTTTTGATGAGGCTATTGTTGCAGCCTTGGAACCACCTGTTACTAAGAAAACTCGTAAATGTATTGTGCTGTAGATCCTTTATTTTATTTTTTTTAACTAATTACATATATCTTGTTGGAAATGTATACTTTTTATTTTATAATCAGCCTTCATTGTTTTTACAACCCTCAATGTTTTCATTGCTTACATTAGAGTTTAGAACCGGGTTATAGTAAACCGGTCACCTGTGTCAAAACGGTTCAACCGGGTCAAAAATTTACAACTCGGGTCAAAACGGTTGAATATGTAACCTCTAACAATATTTAACACATTATAATTGTATTGTGAATAAACACCCTTTTTCTCTTACTAATTTATCTAAATGTTCAATCCAGTTAATCTGGATTTAAAAAAAAAACGTTACAAACTTTGGAGGCTATACGGACTATCGATTGTTGCGAAAATTTTGTTAAAAATTTTCCTTTGTATAAACCATTATTATTTTCTTTGCTAATATGTAATACTCTTTGTCCGGACCCAATTAATTATGCCCGAAAATTACCAAATTTTAGCGAATTTTACTAATAAACCCGCTAACCGATAAGCTAAGTAAAGTTGCTCAGATCGTAATTTTGCATATTATTAGCTAGCTTGCATTACTTGTCTTTAGCACTTCGTATGTCCAATCCGAAGTCCGAATCCGAATCATCCGATTGAGGTCCGGAAGCTCGGGTTACACGAAGTGGTAAAATTTTTTGGACATCACGATCATTGATGAAAGTATGATTATTATGAGGTAATTGGATCGTAGTATATTTAGTAAGTGGGAAAATAATGGGAATTAACTTTGTCTTTTCTGCGAACCCGACTTTCGTTCTGGTTATATCGATCCCTCCTACCCTACCCGCGTTAGAACGACGCATAATTTTTGTGGCCTGTCGGGATGGCAGTCATAAATAAGAGTAGGTAGTGGGATCCGTTAGGATTGTATGCTGAAAAACGTTAATTGTGGCCTGTTGAGA